AATGTGGGATTGTGGCACAGTTGAAGGTTCAGAGCTTCTTCCTTACAGGCACTGTAGTCAAGGAGTCTTAATGGGTTCAGGCAGCTCTGAACTGTGACTATTAAGGAAATGTTTGAGAAAGTATCTGAAGATAGGTTAACAAAACTTGATTATCAGAAGAACTTTAATTCTTAAGGAGCCAAATGTTACTTCTGGTATTATGGTGTATAGGCACTGATCCAAGCATGCTGAAGTCAGAGAAAAGCCTCCGTTGACTTCACTGGGTTTGAATTAAGTCCACAAAATGTTTGATAAACCAAATGTTACAGCAACCTTCTGGTGTTCACCTTTACAATAGATCCTAATCATATCAGGCAAGGGCATTTCATAAAAGGGGTTTGCTATGCATACAATAAGCAGAAAGCTGCTTCATTCTCTTCATTGTTTGTTACCATTAATTTGCTTTGAGATTGGGAAATATTTTTTACAAGTTAGCATTGTTTTTCTATTGTGTATTTGCTGGTAAGATTTAAATTATGATGAAACTTGTTGTTGCATATAATAAAAAACAGTCACTGCCAGCTGGATAAATGTCTTGGTACTGGGGATATGCATGAAATACTTGGGAGTGCTGAAATGCAGTTGGATTTATTTTCGTTGTGAGCTGTTAGGACACAAGGTGGCAATGACATAGAAACGCCCATTAGATAAAACAGTCCAGAATGTCTTTTGATCAGTTTTCTGCTTCAAATCTGTTCTTGATCTATACAGCTTGACACCTGGGTATGCATACAGCTATACGTATGACAACATTTGGCATGTCCTGTGGATTGTGCTTGGCAATACATCTTTGTAGCAATGTGTAAGTGTACAACTATTACTGTCCCCTAAGGAGGTAGGGAAATTAAGTCAAAGGAATTGGATGACCTGCCAGAGGCCACAACAAAAGAGCTGAGATAAAAACAGAGACATTTTGGATCCTAAAATGCGCATAGGTAGAGTGTAGACTCCTGTATCCCTGGCTGCACGCACAGATGTGACCGTATTCATGCAGTGTCCCCTCACCATGCTGCAGCAGAGGGAAGGGTCCTTTAGGGAACTTTAGGGCATGTACTTTTAGTTTGCTGGGAAGGCAAGGTGCTTTTTCTTCTCAAATAATCCGTAAAAAAAAAAAGTGTAAAGGTGCCAGAAAGCATCAGCAGACCATTGTTTTATTGTGGCTTTAGGTATGGTGAAGCTTGCAATTCTTTCTTCAAGCAGTACATGTCCACCTTGCTGCATTTGCCTTCTGTGGGCAGAGCTGTGTCTGGTCAGTGGTGTCTGTGTGTCAGTGGAGCTCGGCTGCTGTGGAAGGGTGCAAGCTCCCAGGTCTGCCATGAGGTTTGGGGGACCCTCAGCAGCTTTTCATCGCTCTCATGCTGCAGTGACGATGCAGTCACTGAGTACCCACCCATCCCAACCTCCCACAGGGCTCTTCTAGACCGTTAGCAGTCTATGAGCAAACTAACCCAAGGTGTGTTAACCCACCAATAAACCTAAAACTCAACAGATGCAAAGTGCTTTCAAATTCACTGGGGAAAAAACAAACAAGTAAAACCCCACAGAACAAAACCAGGAGGAAATATTTTTGCTACTTCTGTATTAAGATCAATGCTGCTGGCATTAAGACTAGCAGTGCTTTTATACCCAGTGGAAGGGTTTGCAGTTCACGAGATTTGGCTGTATCCTTGTAAAATCCTGGCGTTAATGACTGACTCTGGGTCCATTCAACCGCAAAACAGTCTCAGCCCTGTGAGCCATGCAGAGCCCTAGAAGTTTACTGATCCTTATCAGGTGCAGCTAACAAAACCACCAGGAAGGTATCCCCCTCAAAATCAAATAGAGCCTGGCAAGGAGAGCCGGGCCCAAGAATAAAGAGAAAAAAAAAAATCAATGTACTCGCAGCCTTGAGCTGTGAAGCTGCCTACTAAGTGAACAGCTCATGCAATTTAACTCCCTTCTTCCTGTGTTGCAACGCTCTTAATTTTGGGGTTCTTTGATCCACCTATTCATAGCTGTGAAGCGAGCAGAATTTAATCAGGCTCTGACAGGGGATGGTTGATTTTAATACCAGCCTCCAAAAAAGATCTGTCAATCAAGGATGAGCTTTAATACCTTCAACTTGCAGCTCCTTTAAACTTCTGCTGCAGTTGAGTGGTGCTTGGTCAGCTGTGGAGGAGCTGGGCACCTACAAAAGGCTCTGGGGGCTCCCTGGGCACACCTGGGGGAGTCCCTGGGGGCTTCTCCTTGCCCTCTGTAAAAGGGCCACATGAAACGTCTCATCAAGTTGGTATTTCCTAGCCACATGAGAGGAGAGATTTCCTCTTTGAATAAAAAGCAGCTTTCATAAGTGCACATCCCAAAAGGCCTGCTGAGCTTTTGTGAGCAAGCAGGCAAGGCAGGTTTGGAGTCACTTGGCTTAAACCTTTCCTTATTGTAGCTGGAACAGGAACAGTGAGGACAAGGGCTACCTTCTGTACCTATTTTCAAGTTATTTTAGCTGGGGATGTTAGAGAAAATAGTCAATGACTGGCAGGATGATAGAATATGGTTTAATTTCAGATTTACTATCTGCCAACACATGCCATTCAATCAGATAAACACAGGATTTCAGCTGTCATCACAATATCTTATGCATACTTAAAAATAGAGCCCTTTTTCTCACACCAGGAAGAAATCGAACAGGTTTATATATAGGATGTATACAGTCAGGAGGCTGGAAATTTTGAAATAGTCTTCCGTTTCTAGAGAGATTCCCTATCTTTAAATTAAGGAATTATATTAGAAGTAGTAGAAATTCTCAGGACTGCAGAAGTTTTATCGTTGTGAACTGCAGAGAATAAATAAAAGTAAAGGGAGCACCTTGAGAACTTGAACTATGTAAAATGAGGAAAACGTCTGTAATATTTTCAGCAGAGAATATAAGACTATATAGAGAGCGAGACGACTCAGAACTACTCTGTGTGGGAACATCATTCCTCCTCTGGTTTATAAGTTTCCATCCTTGCTCTTTTGTCTGTCCTAGTTCACATATTTGGCCTATCACTGTAGTTATTGACTATCTGTTCTGCTGGGGAGGCAGAAATAGAAGATAACAATCTAGCATCACCCCAACACTATCCTAAACCAGTTTCCCCAGTAAATGTAATTTAAGCATTCACTGTCTAGAGCTTCCCCCTTAAAAAAACACAGAGCAGCTTTACTTAGGTGGAAACTCTCATGCAGGTGAAATGTGGCACCTCTTGCCACCAATGCTTCACATTATAAATTTGTGAATACACAGATGAGTATGGCTTTTTGGCTGGAGCACTTAACTAGTATTTGGGTTCTTTATCCCTTGTGAATAGTAGCTGATGACACAGTCCAGCATATTTTTAAGGTCTAGCCTGGTTTGTTTGAGGGATGCACAGAACAGCTTGTTCCTGTGAACATCCTATGAGCAGACAGCACCAGGCAGTTTTCTTGCTCACAAATCTGCCAATACGCTTCCCCAGCAAGCAGCATTCCCCACCGAGCTGCTTTCTCTCCTGCTCACAAGCCCCTTTCTTCCCATATAACCTGGACCTTCAGTCTCATATTTCCTACCTAGTTTGCTCTCTCAGGTTTTGTCGTCAGCTTTGATTCAGAGATGTCCTTGTTAGCCACTACCAGCATTTCGCAGCATAACCGATTATCGCCTGCTCTTGTTCCCTTCTTGTTCCTTCGTATTCTAACTTCGAACTCTAAAATGACACCCTGAACTGCTCAGCGTAATGGTATCTTTGAAGCCAAGACTTGTACTTTGCTTCGAAGAGCAGCTCTAGCAAAATGAACAGCACTTTCTACTGAAAGTAAGGGAAAGAAGGCATTGTTTAAGAGCATTCCTCCTGCCAGTTTCCCTGTGGGTGGGAGGCTGGAGCTTTTTCTGGTATGTGTAAACGTGTTCCTGAGAAGTTCCGCTAGGGCAGATCTGCTTTTTGCCCATAGAAACATGAGGACAGCATAATGCCAGCCAAGATGCTGAATTTCCTATTGCTGGGCTTCATCCCTTTCTGGTTAAGCTCTCATGCACTTCAGAGAAAAACTGGATTATCAGGTTGCAGGTCCCTCAGCTCAACCATGGGAGGGTCTTTTTGACTTCCCCAACTCCCTCCTGGAGCTGGGTTTTGGCTGCAGAGGCAATTTGTGCTGGGCTATGCAAACAGATAAAACAAATAAATAGCAAGGCTAGAGTGAAGTCCAGCGTGGGTGTTTTTCAGTCTTAAATAGGCTTTGGAATTCTGTTTGTTTTTTATTTTGTTTGGCTTTGGTTTTTTTGGTCTCTTTTAGAAAAGCCTTTCACATACAATGATCTCCCAAACAATTTATTTGAAATCGTTGGTGGGTGGCGCATACATTATGGGCTGTGGTTTCATTGATATGCTCAGCCTTGCTAAGTAGATGGCATATTAAATGTTTTATTTACCCCGTGTGCTACCTGTCATCTAATCAGCTTTTGGTTTTGCTGCATTCTACTTGTATTATAGCAAGAGCAAGTGGTTTCATGTAAATTAAAACCACATGAAACCTTTTAAAGCCATTTTAAAATACTAAATGGTTTTGCAAATAGGTTTGTCGGACAAGGATTGGAAAAAGAGCTCTTTGCTTACCCGTTTACTCATTTGTATGCTTATTAGAAGCCCCCCATGTGACTCTTTCATCAAACATTGCATCCCAGTACTCATCTAGAATGCCAAAAGTCATTTATACTGTGCTCAAGAGTGGTTTGCATAAACAGGAGGCAGTTAACAATGAATACAGTTGTGAGCTGCAGTCGCAAATGTTATTTTATAAATTACAACACAGATGCACAATAAAGTCAAAACATGCATCCCTGTGATATTTTCTTGCTTATCTGGAGCATAAAAGCATGTTGGCTTAAAAGTTTCTTTGCTTTTATTAACTATTATTGCTAAAGTTTATGATTGCGATCATTTCACCGTGAATAATTTTGTTTCCTGCAGGTGGATCGTATCATCTTCTGCGTCTTTTTGGAGGTTGACTATAAAATTTTCAAGAAGAAAATGGGCGAGTTTTTCCCTCTAGGTAGGTATAGTAATTGAGTGCCATCTGACTTTAAAAAATTATGCAGCAAAAAGACAACAGTTGGCATCCTTTCTTCTTTCCCTGCCTAACCCAAATATTAAAATGTGAACTTTCTTTAAAGATCAGCTGCACATAGAGGCTCTGATCCTGGACAAATGCAGACATTTAAAATTTGTGAACCGGTAAAACTACTTGTGATACTGCTTTTGCAAAATCCAGGCCTGCTTTTGTATTCTCAGTACAGCTCATTTCTTCATTTTCTGCTGTATCCGTATCTGCTCCTGAAAACTGGTGCGTGGCACTGGGTCTCTTGACTCTGAGAAGAAAATGATTTGCACTAATGTATATAGCTCCTAGTGTATATTGCTTTTCCATGCACTTTGTACATGCTTTGCTCTTTCATTAACAATGCTGGTAGGGTTTCTCTGGGTCTGAAAAGATACCGCAGGGGTTAGAGCCCAACTGTGTCTGAATGAGAACTTTAAACTTGAGCTGTCCCTGTGCAAGAATGAATGGGAGAAAGATGGCTCTCACTGGAGCACTTGGGAAATGTTAGCCATTCATCTTACGTTCCAATCGGGAGGTTACTTTCTAGAATTTAAGAAAACCTGGTGGAGAGTAAATTTGTTAATCCCCTCCCCCCCCATATGCCTGTGATTTATTTTCATCATATATCATTAGAAATCTGTGTTCAGTTTTTGGGGTTTTTTTTATCAAGCCTGACCTCCTCCCATTTTATTTTGCTTTCTATGACATCAGTCCTACTATATGTGACAAGATCCAGATTTTAGTATTTTGCTTTATCACCCATTTCAGAAGTGGCAGTCACTTAAATAGTCCCCATGCTGTCTGTCTGTCTGGTAGAAAGGACCTTTGAGTAATAAGAAGCAGAGCTTTGGTGTGTTGTGAGTCTCCAGTAATTCTACAGAACCACGTTGTCACAGTGGCCACAGTGTTTTTTTTCCTTTTGCTTTGGCTGGTAGTGTGGAAATTGTGATGTTTCTGTCTCATCTCACTAGAACAAAGCTTGTTGTAGAAGACTGTAATCTCCAGTTTGCAACGATTGGCAGCTAAAACTTAAAAACCTATTGAATTATTCAGGTAGTATAGAATGGTGCCTAACTGCTTAATAATCATATTTTTGTCTGGAGCACATTGAACATGCATTTCAAAGACCGCATTCATGTCTAATCCATTCACTGTGTGATTTTTTTTTTTTTTTGGCCGTGTACCCCAACACACAGGATGAAGTGGCAGTACCCTGCCTACTGTTTCTGGCTCTGTGTCTGCCCTTCAGATTAAGTGAGAGTAGACTACAGTGTCAATCTGTCAACAAATTAGAGTATTAGTACTCACCTTCATTGTTAAGGTTGTTGAAATCATGGATTAAAGCCTGGTATCGTTGTTATAAATGTTAAAACCTGAGAGACAAGAAGATGCTTCAGAGCTGAAGCCCAAAGGGGAAAAGAGAGGAAGATGGGAGATTTATTTCTTTTTTTGGTTTTTCAAAACCTGACATTGCTGAACTCCTGTCTACAAAGAACATGTGTGGTTGGGTGTCATGTTATATAAAGAAGCTACATTATGTAGATGTACAGTTGTACTATAGTTTTAAAAGTATGTTTATTTTCATGCATGGAAAGTTTTTACAATTTTTTTGCTTGAACTAAAACTGGGAATTTGATATGTGACCATAAAGAGGTGGTTGTGGTGGGGACTCTCTAAGGTTCAGCAAATCCTGTGGTTTGCAGGTATGTGACTATGCAAAAGGTTGATCCAATGCTTATGCAGACAGCTGTCCAGAGAAAAGATGTTTTAGTTCTCAGCAGTCACAATTTGATACAAATTACTAGAAGATTCTAGGACCCATTTTCATACACTCCCTGTTGCAATTCTGAATACCAGTTTGGATATGCCTTAATGATGCTGGTTTCCAGGAGGATATGACCACCTACTGACTGGTGAGCTGGCGCTTTAAAAAGATCCAGTTTAGCATCTAAAACTTTATCCCTGACTCAGTGAAGGATTTTCTGTGGTTAGGTCAGTAGTCAGTGATTTGGGAGATCTGATTTTAACATCTTGTATCACCATGGACGTTTAGTGTGCCCTTATAAGAGCCACTTAGATCTTCAACTTGGGAGGAGACAGAAAGAGGCAGGAAAGATACAGGCTACTCAAATGACTCTCCGTTAGTGTCCCTGGAGAAATGATCAGTATCTGGGTCTGTCTCCTGGAGGAGTGCCCAAACGATTAATATACAGTCTCCAGCTTGCTTTGCCATCTTGAATTAACACTTTTCCACAGGGCACCACCACCTCAACAGATGTCCGCTAAAGTAAGTCCCATCCTGAATTGCCTGTAGCCTGCTGGTTGGGAACATTAGCTCAAGGTCTGGATGGTGATCACCAGATTACCATCATGTCTGCTGCTTGTTCCTTTTTCTGGTCTCTTGTGAATTGCCATCTTCATTTAACATAGCAGGCTTTGACAAGTTATCAGCAGACTCTCCTACTATAGGGATATTCCATCTCTCTGCAGGACTGATTCGTTGCACAGAGGACTCAGTCACCATATTTCTGTGTGAAGGAATTAGCAACTGTCTCTACCTTTGGCAATAAATTCCTGATATTTAGGCTGTGGAAGGAATTGGCAAAACTCTGGTGGTTTTGTTTTGTTTTTAAGTGAATCTATTCATGTAGTGAAATGAAAGTCTTTAAGGATAGACTTGCCCTAAATTTAAATTGATAGGACACTATCTGAACATTCACGGGAGAGAATAACACTAGATACTGCTTTCAGCTTAGAGAAAAAACATCAAGACGTTTTATAAGTGTGTCTTGCATTCAGAAACATTATGAAATACATCCACTTTAATAGATGTGGACAAAAATGCTTAGAAAGAAGAATATATTCATGGAGTTATATACATAAATAGTTATTACTTTAAAGCCGGTGCATTAATAAATCCAAAAAGACATCCAAGTGCTTGAGCTAGTCAAGTGATAATGAAATGAAGCTAGAGTTACACCTCAGTGCATTAGAGTAAGTGGAATATAGATATAGGGAAATTGTTCCATTAGTTGAACATATCATTAGGCCTATTTTGCAAGTGGAATGCCAAAGAAATTAGTCGAGTAGTAGTACTGATATTAAGACAACTGCCAAAAGCCTTGTCATTTGCAAACTTTAAATATATAGGGGGAAGAGGCAGACTTCTAAGTAATTTCATATCTTAGAAGTGTAGCAAAGCTGTTCAGTAACAGACTGGTTGTCACAGTCTCAGCATTTCTGATTTCATCTCAGTAATCAGTCGCCTGTACAGAATCTGAGTCAAAGCCAGCATGCTCCAAGGAGGAGCGCCACTTAATCTTTAATTCAGACTCAGGATCTCATCCTAGTCATTGTCCAGAAAAGCACTGGTTTAGAAAGTAAATGGTTCTGGTCCACGCAGAATTTTTTTGTTTAACCTCTGGGGTTTTGCTGAAAAGTTTTTGTATGTCCTGGTGGAAAACGAGAGTGGAAGACGTGTTTCGGTAGAACAACCAACCTTCTGTACTTAAGATGGATCACTGGCTTAATATGTTAGGTGCTACAGTGATTTTTTGGTTTTTTTTTTTTTCTTTTTACCAAATGATTCCTATCTGCTAGTAGAATGAGATAATCCAGCCATTCTCCCTTCAGCTGTGTTAGGAAATTCTGTCTGCTTAATCTGGGAGAATGTCTTGCTGCATATCTTTCAGGCAAATAAAATATCCTTGCCTGCAGTTCTGGCTCAAATGTGTAGTTCTTACATTGCTGGATTCATCGCTACTAGTATTATTAATGAACTTTCCGGGAAAGGAGCTGGTATTTGCACCATTTTTTTTTCTCTTGGAATTCATTGTTTCTTCTAACAGAATTTTGCATAAAGCCTGGATACTAGGCATTTCTTTTATTGCTAAATATATGTATTTTTAAGACTGACCAGGAAATGGTTTAAATACAGACTCCCTTGAAAACCTAGGTTTACCAACATTTACCTTACAGTGATACGTATTTATAGTAGGATGCTATTCGTACGAGTAAAATTATTTGTAAACAGTTGCCAGCTGGAGGCAAAGATACCTTTTTTTTTTTTTTCCTCCCATATACTGTGTATACCTACCTACTTAATATGACAGATAGATAATCTTGTAAGGACCTTTGGCAAATGCTTATTTTTCATGATGGCTGTTGCATATTGTGAAAGGTTTATCTCTAAATTGTAATGCTTAAAGTATTTCTAAATCTACCACCTGTTATCAGTGGATTGGAGAGAAGAATAATTTTTTCTGAAAATGTTCTTTAGACCAAAATAACATTATAAAGGGCAAGTACTCTGAAGCTGCAGCCTTCAAGGTTATATTACGTTCTCACTACTTTAAACAGAGTAACAAAATTACTTCACTAAAGTATCGCTAAAAATGTTGGAGAGACGACAGGTTTGCACTTTTATTAGAACAGTTGATAGATGGAAGATGCAAGCTTTTAGACTCTGTGTCCTTTCAGAGCTAATGAAAGGATGCTGAGCACAAGAGCTTGTTCATTTTTTTGGAGCCATATCAGTTGGTGTTAGGAAAAAGAGAGAGAAATTGCTTGATCTTGGAAAAGAATCTTCCTCTCCCCTCTATTCCAGGTTATGACATTTAATGCATGTTCTGCTTTTATCCTGGTTGACGAGAGCACTGTCCCCCCTACCCAAGGCACATGGATAAGAGCTCCTGTCTCATACTAATCCTCCTGTTACTTCAGGAGGATGCACAGCATCCTAGTTGTGCATAAATGTGCAAATATATTACAATTGCAGAGGAAATTCATTGTTAAGAGATCTACCAGGCTTGGAATCAAATTGGAAACTGTCTAAATGGCTGAATGAAGGGCCTTGTATTAAAAAGGCAGATCCCTGCACTAATACGTGAGTGAACTCTTAAGCAGAGATTGTAATTTCTGTACTGTATTGAGAAGCATCATCCTCTCTGCTT